TTTTGACCTTGGGAGTGCCTGCAGGTCAAGTCGATGGGGTGCGGGGCTGAAAGGAACGGCCCGGCCACAGCCTGTGCTGTGAGCGCCGGGTCCTGGGGTCAGCGGCCAGGCAGAGAGAGTTGGGCTTATGATGTTGATGGCACTTGACCTTCAGGACCCCTCACTTGTACCTACTTCCGAGTTCATGGTTACACATGATGGAGGTTTCTATTTCCTTACAGAGGGTTCCCCCCAGTGAGAAAAGCTCCCCGAACCTGGACCTGCTCCCGCAAACGGGATGGGAATGCTGGAGCAGCAGGGGTTTTCTTGGAGCAGATCAACGCCTGAGCCCCGTGTGGCCGAGGCCCCATGTGGGGAAGGCCCGGTTTTAGGAGGGGGCCCCCGCCAGGAAGGCGGCCGGCCTGTGGCTTCCCGCAGCTCTGCCCTCTGACGGTTCTTCTGAGTTCCTCCTCGAGTCCTTGCGGCTTTGCTCTCTGATAGGAGAAGTTGGGAGTGGGGCGAGCCCACGAGCCCTTCTCTGGTGACGCGCCGGCTCGCTGGCTCTGTGTGCCTGGAGGCTGCCAGCGCCACCTGCTTCCCCTGTGTGTGTGTGTGTGGGGGGGGCTGCTGAAACCGGTGGGCTGTGTCCAGGGGAGCAGACGCCATGTGTCACCAGCCGAGGACCAGGGGCTCAGTCCCTCATGGGCGACCTTGGAACTTGCCTAAGGTCTGAGCCGTTTTCCTCAGGACACTGCCTCTAACACTCTGCCACGTCTCCCTGGGCGACGGGCAGGCGTTCACTCCGCGGAGCTGAGTGAGGGCGGGGGGACCGGAGGCCTCCACGGGTCATCTCTTCACGGGTGATATCCTCACACGTGACGCCTTCACATGCGATGCCCTCACTAGGGGACACGGTCACGGGGCGGCCCCACACGCGGCCCCTGCCCAGCAGTCCACTCAGGACCCGTGCTGAGGCACCACGGCACAGTGGTTACACCTGGCCGGCCAAAAGCCCGTCTGGTTTACTCCACACAGCGGCTCGCGTCCTGCTGAGCTGTCTCGAACTCCATCCATGACAGTCCTGTTAGAGCGCATTGGGGCAGCTGTCCTGCTAGCAGGCATTTCAGAAAACTTACAAAGTTGGTGAATTTTGTGCAGCGATTTTAATATTGAAGATAGAAGAAAATATGCAGCACTTTCGGCATATTATAAACAGCTTTATTGTTTCAAGAAAAATAAAAATGCAACCGAAATGCAAAGAAACCTTTATGCAGCGTTCAGAGAAGGTGCTGTGACTGGTCACATGTGTCGGCAGTGGTGTGCGAACTTGCTTGCTGGAGGTTTCTCTCTGGAACCTCCAGAGAGAGGTCGCTCCGCGGTCAGGCAGACCAGTCGAAGGTGACTGCGAGCGAATCCAGACACTGAGAACAACCAACACTCTGCCACACCGGAGACAGCTGACATCCTCAAAATGTCCAACGCAGTAAAGTTATTGGTGAAAATGAGAAATGTGTTTCTTATTTTACAGAAAAAACTAAGCAGACTTTTTGGCCAACCCAGTACGTGCACAGCCAAATACACGTCCTGTTGCTGGTCTCCTCCAGGGGACCTGGAGCCCTGCGCAGGGGCGCGTCACCGGGGTGCTCGTGTCCTCAGCCGCCCATTTGCTGGTGCGGGTGCTTTCCGCCTGACACAGCAGGAGCCCCCCAGACTTGCCTCCTGGCGCTCCTGGGCTCCCATAGAAAAACCGGGAACAGTTTTGGGGTTAGATGGCGAGGAGAGTGGGGCAAAAGCACTTCATTTTTATTGACAGAAAGTCCTTGATTAGCCCTGGTTTTTAAACGTGTCAGCCCTTTTCAGTGGGTGACACACTTGTGTGGTCGGACTGGAAAAGTGTCCAGGAGTGGGTGGTGTCGGGTTCCCTTCCTGTCTCGTGCCTTTGCCTCAAGGACCCTCCCCCGAGCAGCAGCTGTTCCCAGTTTCCCTCTTCGTCCAGAGTCAGTCTGTGCACGTCCCCGCCAGTGTGAGGCGGTGCCACAGGCCGCACCTCACACGGCCTCGCTCCTGCCCTTTCCTTGAACCACAGCTCACAGTCTTTCCAGGAAGTGCCCGCCGACCCTTAATGCTGCGTACGAATGTGTCTTGAACCCTTGGGCTGTGCTCAGTCTCTGTGGCGTTTCAGAGACGTCGTATTAAAGCCGACGGACGCATTGCAGCGTAAGGTGCACACTCCAGGTGCTCAGGGGCCACACGGAGAGGTGGCTCCCATGTCAGAGACACAGTCGAGACCTGGGTTGGGGCGAGGGCTCTTCTCATCTCCGGGTTCAGTGCTTCTCCCACCCCCACGCAGGACCCCGGGCCTCTTTTCTGACTTCAGTCCTGGCCACGCTGCCCGCCCCTAGGGCGCACTGGGCAGCCCGGGGCAGTATGAGAGCGGGGGGGCGGGGGCTGAGAAGAGGAAAGCTTCGGTGGACACCAGGCTTCTCATGGCCCATTTTGTCCCAGTGAAAAGCGTCACTGACCGATCTTACTCCTGATTCTGAGGACACTGTCTACTTGTGACCTGGTGCTCTACAGTGGACCCGTGAGCTCCTGGCTTCACAGGCAAGCTGGCAGGCAGATGCTGACGCGCCCGTACTTTTCAGCTTTACTCTGTCACTGACGCGGAAACAGTCAAGCCTGCGGAGAGTTTCTATAAAAGCTTACTTCAGCTAAACGGCCTACACGGCTGGGGAGGGGGCAGAGTCTCAGGTGCTCTGCAGAAGGACAGCATCGCAGCTTCTTGTACACGTTTGGAGTTAGGAGAGGGCGCAAGGGAGACTCCCTGGAGGGGAGAGAAGCCAAGGTGCAGTGGGCTGGCATGACTCCAGGGAGGCTGGAGGTGCTGGCCTAGAGGCGCGGGTACCTAGAGGTCAGTTTTTTCCCTTGCAGTTGGATGCAGCACAGCCACTGAGAGCCCAGCGTGCGCCCCGCGTGGCCTCTCCATCATTGCCGTCAGCAGATCCCCTGCGCGGCCAGCACCCGGGGGGCCGCCTTCCTTCAGCCCACCTTTCAGACAGACCGGCCTCTTCCCTCGCATCTTCTAATGCCTGTCTGCAGAGGGCACAGCTGGGGGCTTGAGGCAGAGGACAGATACTCCCTCTCTGGGGCTCTCAGTTCCCTGGTGGAGCAAGGACCCCATGGTGGTGGCAGCTGCTGTCCAGTGGGCATACATGTCCCCTCCTGGGGAGCATTCTGAGGGAGGGCAGAGGGAATGGTGAGTGTGAGGGAGCATGAACAGGGACTGTCACACTGTAGCAGGGAGTTGAGGACAGGGCTGTGGTGACCTCTGTGCTCTGGGGAGGGGCCCTGATCGCTGGGCGGAGAGGAGAGGGCCGTGGCATCAGGTAGAGTCAGTGGGCGTCCTGCAGGGCCAGGGCTTGGGGGCCGGCGGCTGATTCTGGGAGTCAGCTCTTAGAGTTATGCCTTCCTGCCCTAAGGAGAGATGGCCTTGGGCATTGGGAGAGTCCACTGGAGGTGCGGTGCCCCTCACCCTGGAACGCCTCCGTGTTCTCCCCTGTGATGGAGGGCTTTCTCTTCCCTGCCACCACACAGCTCTCAAGGTCAGGAGATTGAACACCGGCCCAGGGCCGTTTTCTAACCCACACTCTGTACTCACCTTTTGTCTGTTGCCTGGTAGTCTTCACAGCTTCCCCCCATGGTCCAGGCTGTGGTCCGGGCTCCCCCACTGCATTTCCTAGCCGGGTCTCCTTAGCTGGCTTTTAACCTGGAACAGTCCTTCCGCCTGGCTTATTAGCCTTTCGTGACACTGATGTTTTTAGAGTTTGGACTCACTGTGCCACAGCTTGTCCCTTGGTTCGGGTGTGTCTGCGTGTCCCGGTGGTTAGAGTCACGGGTGTGTTTTGGGGCAGCAGCATGTGCCATCATCCTGACGTCAGAGATGCCGGCGTGGACCCCTTGGGCAGGAGGTTTCCCCACTGGGGGACAGCTATTTTTGCCTTAGTAATTAACAAGTGATTTGTGGGAGATCCTTTCGAACTGTAAAATTCCTGTTATTCATCCGGCTCTCACCTATGAGGGTCAGCACCCACAGTCAGTTCCTGACACCGTTGTCTTTGGACACCCGCCGGGTGGTGTTCTGCCGCTCTCCTCCCTCCCCGTTTACCCCTCTGCATTTACGTGCACCCTTGGGCTCCTGCATCTCTGTGTAGTCCGTGGAGTGTAATCCCTCGTTCTCATCGTTTATGTTGGTGATGACACCGTTCCCGATCTCTCCAATGGGAGCCCCCACACCGGCAGCTGCCCTGTGGGGCCAGTCCCGTGCCCCTCGCGTCCCTTCCCTTCTCTGCACCCGGGCTGCTGCTCCTGGCGCCCTTGCCAGTGGGCCCCGGAGACCTGTGGTCTGTACTGAGTGCACCCGTGCAGCGTTCCAGAACCCAGCCTCCTTTGTGCTCCTTTGTGGGACCTGTTTGTGGGGTTCAGGTGCATGTACGTGGTGCTGGGAGAGAAGACCTGGTGAAAGTCCCATGGGTAGCTGTCTTTCTGTGACACCGAGAGACACTGTGAGCAGGTGACGCAGGCTCACGTCACTGACGGTCTACGCGGGGCTCGAGGTGACACACTAAAGCAGCCATGGGCCGTGACTGCACCTCGTGCAGAGACCCTCGTGCAGAAACATGAGGACACCGAGGCTCAGAGAGGTGGAGGTGCGGGGCAGGTGGTCTGCGTCCGGAGTTCACTTTTCCTGGTGTACTTTGTTATGATGTAATACATTTCTGTAAATCAAAGGACTTGTACGGGTAATGGTGAATAACGGAAAGCTAATTTGAGGTTCAGGGTCTTTCGCCTGCTGTGTAATTCTGTGTTTGTGTGAAAATCAAGTCTGAAAAGTAAAAGTTTGTCGTTTGTCACATTGTTCTCTCACAGGAAGTCTGCTTGTTTTTGTTAGAGAGTGACTGGGCTGTCCTGATGTTTCTGCAAACACCTAGAAATTTCCTAACCGTCTTATTTTCTTCCTATAGGAATTTGCTTGCTAGAAAACAAAATGCAAGACTTGACAAACAAAATGACTCGGGATGGAAGTTATTTGGAAAAGCGCCGCTCCGAGAGAATGCTCAGAGAGAGCCAAAGAAAATGCAAAAGGTATACGAGATAAAACACAGAGCTGCGCTGTACAGCGTATGTTTATGAAGCCTGTAAAAATGACTGTTCTTGAGGCTTTGCCCCTGGGAAACTTTGTATTAATTTGCATGCCAATTTCCTAAAATTTAAGTCTGTCTTCAAAACATTGGTGACTTTAACCTTCATCATTTCTTACAGTTTGTAACATGCACATAGGGATGTTCAGTTGCAAAAGCTGGCCTTGGGATGTTTATAACGATTTAATTTAATCAGTGTTCAGTTACAGGTGCAAGTGTGATTATTGCTAATTTTTATAAATTGTGTTTGATATTAAAGCATGCTCCTTCTCTGATCCCGTGAGTTTCTGGAACTGGATCCTTGCAGGGCAGCTCTGGCGGGAAGGCTGTTGTCCACCCAGGCCGCAGGGAGCTCTTCCCCCTGCTGCCAGGAAGGGGACAGGGGTCAGGGCCTGGCCAAGTCTGTGCTGTCTCCTCACCACCGGCTCCCCGTGAAGGGGAGAGGCCAGCTGTCAGGGGCACGTGCTCGTCTCCCCGAGGAGGGGCTCACGCAGGGACGCAGCAAGGCTGGGGCTGCTGGTTCTCGCCGCTGGCCTCCTGGCCATTGTAATGCTGTGCTGTTTGCCCAGGGCTGGGGCATGCCCCCCCAAGCCTTGCCCCCCCTCTCAGTTTTGTGCTCAGTGGTAATTGTTCAGTGAACACCCGAGGACCTGCTAACTCGGGCCCTTGTGCTCTGCACGGGGTCAGAGAGACGGCACAGCGCCTGTGCTCAGTGTGCCCTTGGGGAGGACGGGATCCCGGTGCGGGTGTCGGAGGGAGCAGCACAGGTGCGTGGCAGGGTGGGGGGGCCTGCTGGGCAAGGCTACCCAGGAGATGGAGTGTAAAGGCGTGTCAGAGAGTGAACAATGCTGGGGGCGGATCATGTACTGATTACTGTGTGCCAATGTTGAGTCAGCACTTAGGTTTCTAGTTCACGTAAAACTTGCAACAACTTCATGAAGAATATACTGTTATTGTCTTCATTGTACCAAAGCAGCACCGAGACACAGGCCGAGTCGCTGCACAGCCCGTGAGTGGCAGGGCTGGAGGTCAGCCCGGCCGTGCGACCCCACTGCTGCTCTACCCCCCTCTCTGCAGGAGGGGGCAGCATGGTCCTAGGAGGCAGAGTGAGGGGCCCGTGCAGGAAGGGGGGTGTGCCTGGACTGGCTCTGACCCGAGGGCTCCGACCTGCGTACGGAGTGGTGCGGCCACCCTGGCACAGACGTGGCTCTCAGATCCGCCCAGGGTAGAGTCGTGTCTGGCTGAGCGGTGTGGCAGCTGTGGGGTCTCAGAGCGTGGCCCCCTGGAGGGTCACACACACGAGACCTGGGCGTGTGGTGTGCGGGGTGAGGCAGGGAGTACGCGCCGTGGTTCTGGCTCCAGCACCCAGGGGCGCGTCAGCCTCCTTCACGCCTCCTCGAGTGCGGCTTGTTCTGCACGTCATCTGGGCCCAGGGGACTCACAAAGGGAACCGGCGTTGGAGCTCCTGTCCTTGGGTTGATGTATTTTAAATCTGGGTCCCTTATTGTACAGGCTTCTTAAAATAGGGTAAAATTAAAATATGATGATGGATTTGTTTGCAAAACTCAGTGATAAATTTCTTAGGACCCTTAAGTAGGTAAGCGGTTAAAATATTTTAAAAGAAATCCATACTTTCAAGAAAGTAATTATTATACTAAATAGATTTTCCCCATGGCCCTTACTGTCACTTGCCTCATGTTTCAATTTCTTCGCTGTCTTTTTTTATATTTGTTAAAGGTGACATGGATGTGTTCTCGGACTGGGAGGGTTTGTTACCACCGCTGCCCGTGTGGCCACACAACCTGTGGAGAAGGGGCTGCCCGGCTGGGCCGTCAGTAACAAAGGCTGAAACCGCCTGCAGGGGCCACATGGTCCTGCCACGTCCCGTCTGCCTGTGCCTTGTGTCCCTGGCTCGCTCCGCCCTCCCTCCTCCCCAAACTGGCAAGGCCCGAGAGGGGTCCAGAGCCAGGGACCTGCCGCTGTCGGGGGCTCCTGAGCACCTGGACGCCTGACCCCAGATGGTGACTCCAGGTGGCGCGGCAGCCTCGGTGAGGCTGTTCAGGAAGCAGATCCCTCTCCCTTTCTTCTGGAACATTCTTGTCGCTGGAGAGAGGCAGTGTCCTGCTGTGGTTTCAGAGCGGGGACTCTGGGGTCAGGCACCAGGGCTCGCGCCCCTGCTCTGGCGCAGTGTGGCTCTGTGGCCTCGGGCACGTCACTCAACCCTTCCGAACCGCGTTTTACCTCTGAAATCTGGGGAAACTGTGTATGTGTGTACAAACACACACGGCAGCAATTTTTAGGAAATACTGAAGTGTTACTTTGTCATCTTTCCAAATTTCATAAAAATTTTGAAAAGCATGTTATTTTCTGTCAGCTTACATTCTGATTCCTGAGAGATTTTCCTAATCGGGTGGGTAACAGTGACCCGGGACGGCTGTGTGAACCACCTGAAACGGGTCCTCAGGGTGTGTCCCCAGACTAACGTTGTCACCACCTGGGCGTTTGTGGGAGACACAAGTTAACAGGCCTTTCCCCAGACACGCCGGATGGACGCCGTGTCCCGGCAAGTTCCCGGGTGGTCCTGACGCACGCGGAGGTGCGAGAAGGGCGCGTCGGCCGCTGGGAGGAAAACAGGCACCTTTGGCAGAGCAGGCGAAGGGCAGGGCCCGGCACGCGGCGCGCACACGGTCCAGCAGTCGTGGGGAGCCGGACTCGCTCTCGAGGGCCGAGACGAGCGACTGCGTTTGAGGACAGCTACCTTCAGGCCTGCCGTTGCGGGGTACTCCGCACTGGCGTGGCGGTGACGCTGTCTCCAGTGCGGCCCTGGGCCTCGTGGAATGAGAGGGACGGCCTTCGTCGGGTTCCAGGGTCCTCTCGTTTGCTCCACAAGCAGAGCCACCGTGCAGACCCACTGGGGCTGTGATGAAGGGCAGAGCTTACTCGGCTTCTGCCTCGGTTGGAACGTCCCACGGAGGAGGTCCGACGAGTGACCGGTGAGTGCAGCTGGGACAGTGTCGTGCAGAAGTGGGGTGCAGCCGTCCTAGGGGCGCTTTCGCAACACTAAGCCTGTTCCTCTGAAGTCAGGGTTTTTGAGTGACTGCCGGTGTCAGATGCAGCGGTCATCTCGGTCCTGGTCTCAGTCGAGCTGTCCTCCGCCTTTGCGTTTCCCTGGCTGGGTGCCTCTGCGTATTAGAGCGCCCTCGGTGCTGCCCTACCTCAGTCAGCCTCTGAGAGATCTCCGCGGGAAGCGAGGCTCATCCCCCGCCTGCGCCTGCTGCCAGGACCGCCTCCTCGGCCTCAGACGGAGCCGCCCCTGCCCTGCTCCACAGGGAGGGCTCGTAGGCATTTCCTGTGGGGCAGGTACAGGCCCAGACTTGATTTCCTTCCCCCACTTGGGTGGACTTGTTCCCTTAGCATCTTTCCTCGTTGTGCTGCGTGACAGACCTGGCCCTGTCCCCGGTCTGAAACCTGAGCACTGCTCTTGACTTTTTTGCCCCTCCCCTCCAGTTTGACAGGTGTTTGGTTTACGTTGAAGCTTCGCAGGGGAGGCTGACGTGCAGTCTTGTTGGGGAGCAGGGACTGGCCGGGGAGTTCAGTGCTCAGTGCGGCTGTGTGGATGGTTGGTGGCAGCGAGGCCTCCCTGAGTAGCCTGGCCCAAGGAGGTCGCCTCGCCGGTCCCCCGGTGCTCAGGTTATTGGGAAATGGGGAGTTTCAGATAAATTAGCAATATGCACCTCCTGGTTATATTAACTTGCAGATATTTGTAGATAAGGTATTAGCAAATCAAGAAAAAGAAAACACCAGGAGTCTCTCTGCCCCCAAATAACTACCGTTTGCATTTTGGTATTTTTCCTTTCAGTAATTTTTTCACTTTTTAAAAAATTTTCTTTTAAAGATTTTATTTATTTTATTTTTAGCAAGGGATGGGAGGGAGAAAGAGGGAGAGAAACATCAATATGTGGTTGCCTCTCACATGGCCCCCACTGGGGACCTGGCCCGAAACCTAGGCCTGTACCCTGACTGGGAATTGAACCAGCGACCCTTTGGTTTGCAGCCTGAGCTCAATCCACTGAGCTATGCCAGCCAGGGATAATTTTTTTTAAAGAAAAGACTACGTAAGTGAAGGTGAGTCTTTGTAACTCGAGTAGATGTTGTGTGCTCAGGGCTGCCAACATTTGGGGAGGCTTTAGAGCAGCGTTTGTGAACCCTTTAGCCACCAGGCTGCGTGCGCAGACCTGAGAGACTGGCGCTGTTGCCAGGCACTGCGGTTGAGCGGAAAGTTGCAGTTCTGGTGGCCCCGGAAGCAGCCACTGTGTGGCAGGGATAGAGGGGTGGGAAAGGACAGGCTTGGGGACTTCGGTGTCCTGGATAAAGTGTTGCCGCATGAGCGGGGATGTGTGCTGGGTTTGAATTTTTATAGTCCGGGGCGTCTTGGGTAGCCTTCTGGAATTTCAGGTCAGCTGTTAGCTGTGAAAGAGAGAATCCCAGAAGGGACCAAACCCAGGACATCTCAGAGTGACCGCTGGTCTTAGACCTGGGTTCTGAGAGATCGTGGGGGCCTAGGAAATCACGAGTCATCGCGAACGGCAGAAGGGACAGGCCTCGGTGACCAGTGCCGGTAGCTGGGCTGGGCCTCCAGGTGGATTCTAAAGTCAGACAACTCCTGTCGCTGCCTTTGTCCTGTACACCTTTGGAAGACCAGTTTGAACGGGTTTTGACCAAACGAGCAGAGCCCAGGTCTGCTTGAGGACGAGGAGGCGCAGGCTGCTCCACCCCCTGTGGGTGCAGCTGTGCACTTGGAAACAACATGCACAGCAGCCACTGGACAATGCGGAAAAGTAGCAGGAACAGGTGCGTGAGGGAGGAAAACGAATGTGAGGTTCCACCGAATGGACTGAGGTTACCATTTTGCCCTCTAATACTTCATAGCCTGAACTCAGGGCA